CATTGATAAAAATAATGAATAGCAATAGATTGAAAGGTGATCCCTGAAGGACCCCCTCCCCTAAAACCACCCTCCTTGGATGATTCCCCAGAATATGAGCTATATTGATTTTTATATCATACTAATGTTTTAATAAGAATATTGTGAAGTATTCAGACTCCTTACAGAACTCCAAATATATTATGTCAGTAATTACCTTTATCATCCAATCTTGTAATTTCATCAAACGTTAGGTTTGACATTTTTTTCCATAAAACAATGTTGATTGGTATTAATTATGCTCCATTTTAGCTATTTTTTAATTTTTCTTTCTTTCCCTAAGAATAACATCAGGCTAACAAACCTTTAAATTTCCTGGGTTATCCTGTTTGTTTTTCAATACCAGAATAACATCAGCTTCTCTTCAGTCCTTTGGAATTTCCCCATTATTCCAAGATTTATTAAATATTAACATCAACTGTCCAAAAAGTTCTTTGGCTAATTCTTTTAAAACTCTTTTTGATGTGACTTATTTGGACTTGCTGATTTATAAAAATATTTAACTTTAGTTGATACTGTTTAACATCCTCCTTAATTACTTTTGGAATGGAAAGTATTTTGTCATTATCTGATATGAAAACATCATCCAATTGCAAAAAAGACAAATGTCATTCTGGGATGTATTAACAGGAGTGTCATATGTAAGACATGGGAGATAATTGTTCTATTCTCTTCTGCACTGACGAGGCCTTAGCTGGAGTAGTGTGTCCAGTTTTGGGTGCCATACTTTCAGAAGTATGTGAACAAATTGGAGAGAGTACAAGGGAGAGCAACAAAAATAAGTAGTTTAGAAAGTATGAGGAAAGGTTTCAGTCTAGAGAAGAGAAGGCTGAGGGGGGAACATAAGTCTTCAAATATGTAGAAGGTTGTTAAAGAGGATGGTGATCAGTTGTTCTCCATGTCCACTGAGGATTGGACTAGAAATAATCAACTTAGTTTGCAGCAAGGGAGATTTAGGTTGGTTATTAGGAAAAACTTTCTAACTCTAAGGAGTTGAGCACTGGAACAAGCTACCTAGAGAGGTTGTGGAATCCCCATCATTGGAGGTTTTAAAGAACAGGTTAGACAAATATCTGTCAGGGATGGTCTAGGTTTGCTTAATCCAGCCTCAGTGTGTGTGTGTGGGGGGGGAATGGACAAGATGGCCTCTTGAGGTCCCTTCCAGCCCTGCCTTTCCATGATTCTTTCCAAATGCAGAATTAACATGTGTGTTGAACATTCCTTCTTGGCTGCATCATTGACAATCCTGTCATAATCACTTGTGCCCAAAAAGCTATTTTAAATATACTGATGGGAATACTGCCCTCTGCAGTAAGCAGTCTTGCACTGGCAGGAGATGGGGAGGAAGTAGAATACATAATTTAATAAGTTGTCTATTTTTTTACTACTTTGATGGCAGTAAGGAGTGATTCCAAACCACAGTGGAGAAAGTTAATGCAAAGGGCTCTGCCGCGATTAGACATAGTGTGGTTCAGCTTGGAAGAATGTACTAGCAGTGGTGGGGGGAAATAATTGGAAGCTCATGCAGGCAGAGGGAGGGAGAAATATTGGAGTAGTGATACTGGATGAAGCTTCTGCCACACCATCTGAGCAAGTTGGCTCTACAGTTAGGACTTGTTTAAATTGAGTCTTAAAAATACCCAAGACCAATGAACATGTTACCATTGGTTTTTAAAAAATGTCAAGGGAACAGTATTTTTTAACAAATTAAAAAATTTGTTTGGGGTGCTGTCTAGCACCCCAGACACTGCAGTACTGGCCAGCACCTCAGACTCTGAAAGTGAAATTGACTCATCTAGTTTCATTGCCCGACAAGAAAGAATGCAAAAAGTGATTGCAGAGCATAAATAGGGGGAAGGTAAATTGGACTGATATATTCTTTCTGGCAATCTCTGTTTTAGCGGATATAAGGAAACTTGTTTTTAATTATGTTTTATGTAAGCATGCCTGCTTAAGGGATGAAGATGAACATCAAAGTAGAGATGAGTTTGCAATGTGGTATGCTGGAACAGAAGCCAATTTAATTGTGTCTCCACAGACAGAGGCTTCATGTCAGGAACAAGGGAGATGCTAGTTCCTCTTTATGTGACTGGTGAGACTGCAGCATTCAGCACTGGGCATCTGCAGAGGGCAATAGAACAAAGACAACAAACTGTAAAGAATTTTGGAGCAGAGTAACACAAATGACTCCAGGCTGGAGGGGATGACTCATAAGGGACAGCCAAGAATCTGGAATGTGCAGGAGGGTGTATTGTTACACAGCTATTCCTCCCCGATAGTTCACTAGAGTTATGGGATGAGAGTGGTATTTAGGGTGAATCAGGGTCGGATTAACCTTTTGTGGGCCCAGCGCCTGTCATTTTTGGGGGCAAAGGAGCATGGAGTGGGGAGGTTGGTTCCCAGAGCAAGGTGCCAGCCAGGGGCAATGGGGCATAGCATGGTGGGGCCGGTCCCACTCCACCCAGCCCAGTGCCAGGATACAAACCAGCAGTTGCCAGATACACACTGTCCTGTCCAGCCTTGTGCTGCCAGCATGATCCTTCCTCTCGGGATGGGCCCATGCCGTGCCACACAGCCCCTGCCTCCCTTTGCCCACCGTCCCCCGGAACTGCTATGTCCAGCAGCCCCCGACACAGACCCTCCACCACAAATGCACAGTGGCCTTCACACCACCACCCCTGCCCAGAACCCCTACACACATCCACACCACTACTGCCCAATGCACTTCCCCACAGCCCACCACCACAAGTACACAGCACCCCACTCAGACCCCCCACTGCCCACCATCTGAACACACAGCCCTCCCCTGCTGTCCCCCAAGAGACTCCCCACTGGCCAGCAGCCCCCCTCATTAGTTGACAAGAGCAAATGAACAAATGCCCAGTTTACCAAAAGTCTGATGCCCTGCCTCCCCCCGGCCCCAAGCGGGGCGTGGAGGAACATGTGTATGCATGTGGGGTGTTGACATGAGGTGTCAGGCAGCTGTGGGGGAGGGGATCAGCCCCAGCCAGAATGGAGCTTGTGGGGGTTAGGGGCCAGCCCCAGCCCCTGGCAGCGGTGTGGGGAGGGTGTCAACCCCAGCTCCTGGCAGTGGTGCGGGGAGCTGGGGCAAGGGAGTTGTCAGCCCCTGACCTGTCCTGGCAGTGGCATGCAGAGCTCAGGGAGGGGGGGAGCTGTGGGTGAGGGGTCAGCCGAATATCTGGAGAGGTAGGGCAACAGGGAGATTACAAAACTGCCGCTGAGAAATAAGTGTTTCCACAGGGCCAGTCCTGTCCTGGAACAGAAGGATTGAATGGTATTTTTCATCTCCAGTGTTTTAACATCAGTAGGCAAGAAGCAGGGGGTAGGTTTAGGGTATGGCAGTTTTAACAATGCCTGACACAGCCCAGAACATGATGAAGTGAATCGGGCCACTGTGCGCAGGCACTGACGAGTTGGACCATTTTCCAATAGCATATGCAAAGCACAGGGAAGATACTGAGTAGACTAAAAGGTTCAGCAGAGAACGGTGAATATGAATGATCATTTGGTGGGCTAGCTAGGCAGTTCTGCTCTGGAAAGTGACCTTGCGTCTCAGTGTTTACTGGCTCTCAGTGACTTTATGCAGCAAGAGGGACTCTAGCGCTCTCATCTTGCCTCTGCCACTGATTCATTGTGTGGCCAAATCTGTAAGGCTAATTCAGTCTGTGCCTCCCTATCAAGGCTGTAAGCCAGGGAGCTAGCATGGAAAATGTGTTGTGTAGCTAGGCACTCTGTCTCTAGTCCCCATTTCTGAGTGGGAATAATCCCCCTTTGTGTTCCCTGGGGCAGTGAGGCAGAATTAGCTACTTGTGCAGTGCTTTGGGGGAAGAGTGAGCCCGTCATAGTGCTAAACACGAGTCAAACTCTAGCAGAGTAGGCTCAGTGGTTTTATCTTTCTATGGAAGATAAATGGGGTTTGCTACAATTTCTGTCTCTCTTCTGGATGAGACTTTACAAACCAAGGCCGTGCCTGCTTTCTGTAGACATTAAAGCTACCACATGTTTGCCCTGGTACCCTCAGCCAGAATTTCCATGCTCCCTGCTAAGAACAAACTTCAGTTACTTGGCATTTTATGCAAAATGAGGGACTTAACCAAATCTTCGTCCCTTGCATTTCTGATCTGGTTTCCTAGTTTGAGTTGGAAATTTGAGAGCTAGAGAGCAGTCAAAAATCCACAGGCAGGGCCTGGCTGTTCTCTGGGGCTGTGGATGTTTGTTCCGTATTATTAGCAGGTTCAGAAGGTAAGTCATGCAAGTGTCAGGAGGAGAAAAGGTGAGTTCTTCTGGGCCAAGAAGTTTCCTAGGCTGATGTCCTGGAGCCTAAATTAAACTTGGCAACATGGGAGAGGCAGAACAGGTGAAGAATTGGAAGGGAACCATGATCCAATGAAGTGAGCTGTAACTCACGAAAGCTTATGCTCAAATAAATTTGTTAGCCTCTAAGGTGCCACAAGTCCTCCTTTTCTTTTTACCTGTACTCTGTCTCCAAAGGTTTTCTTTGAGGTCCCTGCTACCATTTGTAGGAAACCTGTGTTTGTGCCCCAGCACTAGTGCATTTCTCATGATAGCAGTCTAGTGCCAATACATACACACCATGGCAGCGTGGCTGGGGTGAGAAGCAGCCCATCAGGAATGATGATGGTTTGGGAGAAGTGGTTTGGCTTGGTGCCTTATATTTCAATAGCACATTAACTGCCAACTAATTAATGCTCTGAGGACTGCTGGAATTACACACAAAAGCTATATGAATGCTTGTGAGAAGCTTTTATCTTGATCAACGTTTATACAAAGAAAGCCACTTAAAATGAGTTATTGCAGATATTTAAAAGGAGTAAATCATGTTAACTGTAAACGATATCCCTGTGCATTTCTGAGTTAGTTATTTCTGTGCACACAGCGGAGGAGCGAGTGCGAGCTCACCTTCTCTCCTTGCCTTGCAGGCTGCTGCACTATTTCCGAGGACGGCACCACTTGGAGGAGATCATGTATAACGAGAACATGCGCCGCTCCCAGCTGCTCACGCTCTTCGACAAGTTTCGCAGCGTGCTGGTAGTGACCAATCATGAGGACCCTGTGATTTCAGTCTTCCAGTCCCTCTTGAAGTGACTGTGTGGAGTGGGGGAGGGGAACTGCTCCTCTGTCTTCAGCTCCCTTATAGAAATGTTAATAAAGGAGCAGGGTAGCAGCAGCCAGAGGTTCTACCCCTGCCATTGACCTTCCCAGCGCCCCTCAGCAAGTCACCCCTTCTCCCTCCCTTTCCCCATCTGGCTGGGGGATGTTAACCCCAACCTGCTTGTGGAAGGAGCTCTGCCCCCACAAGCTGCATGTGAGTGTGGACAGAGAGGTGCACACAAGTGAAGCTCTTCAGGCTAGTTAATGCCAGCACGCAGTACTTTCCCCAAGTCCCTGCCAGGGGGCTGGGGTTCCTTGCTTCCTGCGCAGGCTGTGTGCGTGGAGTTGAAAAAACGGTTTACCTTGGTGTTGCTGAATAAATAAAACTGCACTGTGACTGGACATTGGTGCAGGAGAAACCGGTTGCCTCTTTTCAAGCAGCAGAGCAGTGCCTTTGAAAACGCCAATGGCATCTCGAGCCTAGTCTACACTAGAATCGCTACAGCAGCGCAGCACCAGTGCTGCTAGGGTCGATGCTCTATGCCGCCAAGGGAGAGCTGTCCTGGCAGCAGCTCTCCCCACACCGCCACTTACATCCGGGAGGGGGGTAGCTTGTTCACACGCCAGTGACTTAAATTATAGTGAAGTAAGTGCTAGTGTGTACAAGCCTTCAGTGTTACTGAAGCACGTAACTGCCTCATGAGGTGCCTAAGGTGCTTTAACTCTTTCCTGCACCTCTTTTAGGCTCTGAGTGCTTCACAGCGGTTTTGACACATCTCTGTGCTGCCCCTGTTGCTGGGGTGTCAGCCAGCTCAGGGTGGAGTTTGATGGTGAGGGCAGCTAGTACCTTCGCTGTCACAGCTGGAAGAGTGTCCTTGTCCCCACCTTCACAGACTGGGCTTTCTTTCCACTAAGAAACCTAGGTGGCTGTTGACTTAGCAACTGCAGAAATCAAACAGGAGCATTCGTGGGTGGTGTGGCTGGGGACAGCGGGCAGGGAAGCAGAAGAGTGAGTCAGGCTGGGTAGGAGATGGCATTGTCACAATACTTATGAACCTCCCTCCTTAGCCCCCCACGCTTGAAGGGTTCCAGCTGTGTAGACTCTCATTGCTTTCAACTAGGAGTAATGCCCACAAAACAAGTCCAGTGTCACTTGGAAACCCCAGAGGTGCTTGCTACTGCTGGGAGTGAGCCTGGCTCTCTTAGGCTAACTGCTGACCAGACATCCCACCTTACTCATTTCATTATAACAAAGCACATTTATTATTAAAACAGCTTCCAAACCAGCACCACCCCCCGGCCCGGTTCCATCAGGTCAGAGCCTGGGGCTGATAGTTAATGAAAGCACAGGCCTTACCAAGAGTCCAATCTTGGCCAGGCTCCCCCCATGCCTCTATTCTGCAGCAGCTTGCTCTCTCTCCTTCTTCTTGTCCACAACACTCACACATTTGTTCCCTCGTATATAAAACCTCAGCGGTTTCTGTGCCCACTCTCCACCGTAGCTGACACCAATTCTGGCTGCAGTCACCAGAGCCTGCTCTCCCAGTGCTTCTGAGCCAGGCTCCATCCAGACTGTTGTGTCATAAGCCAGGTCCTTTTGGTCAAAGCTCTTGTTAATAGCAAGCGCTTGACAGAGCTTGGAGGGCCCATTGCACAGCTGCCAGTCCTTCAGGGGTTTGGCTGATCCTTTCCTCCGAGCACTTCGCAGCTGCCTCATGGTGTCCAGGCCCTGCAGAGGTTCCAAGGACCGGAGCAGGACTGCAGCCCCTTCCCCTGTGGAACAATAAGAACTTGCATGAGCATGGGCTCTTTACAGGGGCCTCTCACCGCAGGCTGGCTGGGCCACATGTTACTTTGTAAAGGAGGTTGAGAGCAATACAGAACTAATTCCAACCCTCAGAGAAATCCTACATACCTCCTCACCCTTCTATTAACTGGTACCCATTGGTCAGCCGATCAACTCAAGGGACAATAGTCTATCAATGGTACTGTGCTCCAGTATAGCATGCCTCACGCTCTTCAGTGTATTCATCCCCACCACACCCTGTGAGTGCTGTTAGCCCTGTTTTATCCATGGGAACTGAGGAGCCAAGGACCAGACTTTTAAAGGAGTTAGATGCCTACATGGAGTGGGGCCTGTCTTCACTGAAATCAATGGATGTATGAAAATCACTAGGAGTTTAAGTCCCTTTAAACATCTGACCCTTAGTGACTGCCCACGGTCACACAGGAAGGCTGTGGCAGAGCAGGGAAGTGAACGATCGGCTGCCAAACGCCAGGCTTGTGCTCAGATCATAAGACCAACCTTCTCAGACTCGAAGGCTGAAGTGATCTCAGGTCAGCCTTGTCACAATCACTGATTGGGGAGAGAGGAAAGGGTAGTGAATTCCCTTTCCCTGCTCTGATCAGCCAAACTCTCCTTAGCTCAGTCTGTTTCATCTGTAACCATGAATTTCAATCTCCAGCCAGCTTTTCCCTAACCTCCTTCCTCGCATTAGTGTTTAAGGGAGTGACATGGGCTGAGTTCTCTCCAGGAGGTGCTCAGAGGTCCACAGGTTTTCCAGTGTCAGCACAGCACTCTGGAACAACTGCCACATGTGAGTTCAAGGGTGGGGTAGCTGGAGCAGCTCCCCAAAACCCATAGATTTGTATTCACACACCACAGGGCTGAGTGCACCACCTCCAACCAGCCCTGGAGGAGGGGGATCAGGACACAGCAAACTGCAAGGGGGCACTTGCATTCTAACCCCTGACCACGGGCTATAGTCCATAGAACTAGCTTAGAGGTATTTTACTGAACAGTAATGCAAGAAGCCTGCACAGTCTATACCCTGTGAGCTATCTGGCTTAAGCAGCATAAGGCTTTCAGACCTAACAGCCTTTGCATACGTGAATTGTCCAGCAGTGACAGTGAGTTATCAGGGAAGTGGGACTAGTTTGCTTTAGGGGATTTTTGTATAAAATGAGACCAGGTACCCACAGACAATCAAACTGATACAAACTTTGGATATTGTAGGACAGGACATCTGCAAATGCACAACCACAATCTTGTCTTGGCAATGAAACTGACATATATGATGATATCAATAATATTAATGAGATCATTCATATACTAACCTATAGAATAAGGACACCAGACATTATTAGGGTTAAGAAGTCAGTTATGGACCAAGTGGACCTGGCCTTTATATAAATATTCATGGCAGCCTCCAGGACTTATAATAGGCCCAGTCACCATGTAAACCTCGAGATCTTGACCACTGGACTCGCTTGGCGTGGAACACCACCTGTTTCCTACCACTAGGACTCTATGAGAAGGGTGTGAGTACGTGTCAAGGATGGTGCTGGAAACCAGCTTGGTTTTAAATTACAGCTACTTTCTCATTTGGTTCAGAATATTTGTATTTTTACTAATTGTGCTAATACAAATATTTAAAGCTTTGGTTTGCCCTTAGTGCATAGGTGGGCAAACTACGGCCTGTGGGACTGACCTGCCCAGCCCCTGAGCTCCCAGATCGGGAGGCTAGCCCCTGGTCCCTTCCCCTCTGTTCCCCCTCCCCTGTAGTTATGCCACCACACGGGCAGCATGGCTTGCACCCGCCCACCTCTCAGGCTTTCCAATAAGCATGTCCTGCCGCTTTGAGCGGCATGGTAAGGAGGCAGGGGTTGGATAAGGGGCAAGAGGTCCTGGGGGGCGGTCAGGGGACAGTTGGATGGGGCAGAGGTTCGAGGGGGCGGGGGCAGTCAGGAGACAGGGAGCAGGGTTTGGATAGGGGATGGAGTCCTGGGGGGGCGGTCAGGGGACAAGGAACAGGGGGGGGGTTGGATGGGTTGGGAGTTCTGAGGGGGGCAGTCAGGGGGCGGGAAGTGGGAGGGGGCAGATAGGGGGCAGGGGCCAGGCTGTTTGCAGAGGCACAGCCTTCCCTACCTGGCCCTCCATACCGTTTCGCAACCCTGATGTGGCCCTGGTGGAAAGTAATAATTAATATATTAATTATTTTTGGGAAAATATGGTCCGGTACAGATCCCGGATTTGGCTTCTATTATTAGAAAGAAATAAGTCTCTCGCCAGTTCTCTTGTGCTGAAGGAAGCAGCCCTGTTAGTTTGCAAGGTCTGTGCTAATTGTAAAAAAACATTCAGAGACAAAGAGTTTGCCCTAAAACTGATAAGATAACATGTTACAAATGTTTTTTTTCTGAATTCAGGAACAAGATTTGTTGTTCCTCCACTTTTACATTCCTGTCTTGCTTGTTTTCTTTTCATGTGTGACAAGTGGCATGGATAGATTCACTGGAGTCTGTCATGCCCCAATGATTTGAGACTAGTTATGTTAAGTGAAATAGGATGTGATTGTAAATGTATGTTTGAATGAGTAATAAAAGGTTGACGTGCCAGCCTAATAAATAATAACTACCCAGGAACATTCAGCCAAATAATGCGCAGGATGGAGATAACCAAATGACCCCGTAGGGCAAACCGGAATCCACCCCCAACTACCCCAAGGACGGAGAGGCCGAAGAACCAAAAGATCAAAGAACAAGATAACAAGCTGTCACTGCTGTGCCATCTGCATGATGGACTATCATTTTAAACGTGAGAACAGTGATTGATTATCACTTCAAATCTGAAAACAGCATGACGAAGCAATCCATGACCTATGGATTTGAATGAGGATGAATTCTTATAAAGGCAGACCCTAAAAACTGAGAACTTTGAGTCTGGTTCTGCAACCACTCTCCAGGAGCATCAGATGCGCATCTGACAAGACTCGGCTCCATCCTCGTGTCCAGGCCAGTGGCTTGGCAAGAGCAACTCTAAGGCTGGTAACTATGATGATAACCTTGCAGAACCTGTGTGTGTATGAATGAATGAATGTGTAAATGAGTGTGAAATTGAATGGAATGTTACAGCTATAACTGACTGCTTACTATGATTCTTTCTGTATCCACAATAAACGTGGCATTTTGCCTTATCCCCTTTAATAAGATCCTGCTAGTTTTTGTTTTATTGGTATAACAGCCCTTGGGCCAAAAAGTTTGCCCACCCCTGCCTTAGTGTGTCGTTGTGCACATTGAGGTTCCCAACCAGACACAACTAAATCTGAACTGTGTGGTGTCTGGTTCTGGGACTAGAACCTTTCAACACTCAGAGAGTTCATTAGTGACTAACTGGAAATTCTTAACAGTCAATAGAGTCAATAACCAGCCAACAAATTAGGCAACAGGGCCCCCAAGGCAGAATCATCTGGAGACCTGTGGAAAGTAAATGCAGCCTGCCCAAAATGGGGCCTTCATCATGGGGCAGAGGAAGGCTCTAATTCCTCACAGGAATACGGACTTGGGTGCTGCCCTCCAGTCCGTACCCTGAAAAAGAGAGGCACAGAGAACTGACTCGTCCCCCTGGCCCTCACTAGTGCAGGGAAATGTAAACACATAACACTCCCTGTACTGCTGGCCACCCAGGGACCCCTCATCTCCAACATCTGCAAAGCCAGTAATGCCGACTCAACAAGAATCCTCTCCCCTCACACACACTCAAGGCAGCCTGAACCATCTGGAGCCAGTCAGGGCCTAGTCCTCAATCGCCTGCTCTCACAGATGCAGCAATGCCTTCTCCCTCACGAGGCCCAGAAGGGCCTCCAATTGCTGTTCTAAATATAATGCTGCACTCTGAAGCCTAAGACAGTAACACTGGCATAACGATTGTGTGTCCCAGGAATATCATCCATGCCAGAACTGTGCCACTACTACGATCAGTTATGAGGCAGTTCTGACCCACCCAGGAGCAGAGCAGCCACAGATCAAGCCGTGGAGCCTAGAACCAGTTGTCAAAAAGCAATTTCATCTTCTCTACCTCAAAACAGGATTAATGGCAAATTTCTCAGAGTTCATTTATACCCCACTCTTCCCACCCTGCATGCCCACCCCCTGACCTGCTGCTGCTGCTACAGAAAAGATGAATAGCCAGAGGACTGGTCAGATTCAGAGCTTTGGACTGATGAATCATACTGGCACTAAGTGTGAGTCAACACTGTGATGCTGTTGCAAAAGAAGCAAATACAAATTTAAGTTGCATTAGCAGACACAGCATGCAAGTCACAGGAGGTGATAGTTAGGCCCCGGCACTGGTTAGGCCTCAGCTGGAGTACTGTACTCAATTTTGGTCACCAGTATATAGAAAGGATGTAGAGAAACTGGAAAGGGTCCAGAAGCGAGCAACAAAGATGATCAAGGAGATGGAATGCAAGCCATATGAGCAAAGGCTGAAGGAACTAGGTATGTTTAGTTTGGAAAAGAGGAGATCTAGGGGGGACATGATAACGGCCTTCAAATACTTGAAAGGCTGCCATAAAAAACATGGAGAAAAGTTGTTCTCTCTTGCAACAGAGGGCAGGACAGGAGGCAATGGGTTCAAACTACAGCAGAGCAGATTTAGATTGAATCTCAGGAAAATCTTCCTGAGGCCTGGTCTACACTGTGAGGGAGAGGGGAGAGAACAATCTAAGTTACGCAACTTCAGCTACGTGAGTAATGTAGCTGAAGTCAACATACTTAGACCTACTCACAGCGGTATCTTCACTGCAGTGAGTTGACTGCTGCTGCTCCTCCGTCGACTCTACCTACGCCTCTCGTGGCGCTGGAGTACAGGAGTCGACGGGAGAGCGCTCAGGGGGTCAATTTATCACATCTAGACTAGACGTGATAAATCGACCCCCGCTGGATCGATCGCTGTCCGCTGATCTGGCGGGTAGTCTAGACATACCCTAACCGTA